TTTTTAATAAAAATCAACCAAAAGGTGATAGCTGGAAAAAAAAAAAAAAAAAAAAATGTATGCTCCTAGGTTTCCATGTTGCACATATTTGTGTAAAAGCATGTGTGGGGAAGGAAAGGAGCCAAATCAGTGCCCAATCAAGGGAGAATTCTCTATGTGGAAGGGTCATTACAACTGTTCTTAGTGTTAGCTGATAGGTTTGATTTACCATCAGAGGAGACATAACTACATGCTAATTCCTTACTTAAAAAAAGATGGCTATAGCTCCCTATTTAAAGATGAACTATTTGGGGGCGTGGCCAGCGCTTGGGACGGATGGCTGCTTGAGACGGAGCTCCGTGCCCAAGCAGACGGCGGACCGCGACATTCACCGCATCGGGACCCGGCATCAGATGAACTATTTAAAGATATTTCCCTTGTCGGAGAGCCCTAATTCGAACTGCAGAGAGGTTTCTCTTTTTTTTTTATGGCCTGCCCCACAGTTGCAGATTGTCTTCCAAAATGCACACCATGCGGAAAATGGGAGAAAGACCTGGGCAGGATCTTTACAGTAGAATATATATATATATATAAAAGAAAAAGCGGATCAGAGCTCCTTTTTGGATAGACCGTTCTCATCACTGGGTAATTGCTAAAAAAGGTGCTTCATAGCTGGTATAGTAATTTTTGCAAATTGTATAGGTCTTTCATCGGTCTAACCAACCTGGAGACAAATGTAGGAAACTGGGGTCCCTTACACATAGAGTCTTGAGATCCTACATTTTTGGTTTAATATGCAAATTGGTGAGGAGGGTCATTGTCCGGTTGTAGAACTGGTTCTACATTGCTTCTGCATCACAACTGTTGCTGGGGGAAGCTATGTGGGTTCATGGTATGTGTCCGTTTCACCTTGTTGTCTCTTTAAACCTTGTGTATTTTGCTCAGATCTATCCAAGATGTTTTATGATTGTAGCCATGACGTTAATGTGAATTTCTTAGAAATGCGTTTAAAGTCTGTAAACATTTACTGAAAACATTTTCATTTTTTTTTAGGCACAGCGATTGGTGTACACTTGACTACTGGTTCATTAACTTGTGTTTGTTAATAACAAAAAAACTATTGAAACTGAAAACATTGATAACGTTCGGTTAGGGGAAAATAAACTAAAACCTTTGGGCTAGCAATTCCTGAATGGATAAAAGGGGGTCTATTCAACGTTGAGAGACACAGGAAGCACCCACAGTGGACAGATCCGTGATTAGGGATTTTGTCAAATCAATCTGGGAAAGGAGTGTGGAGGCTGACATTGGTTGAAGGGAAAAACCCAAAAATGCATCACTGAAATTGCTTCCAATTTCTAGTCAGTAGGGTACTATGGGAATAGTAAATATTTTATTAAGGTGAGGTACAGGTAGGCCACCTTGTGACCATCTTATGACAAAACCTTTGTCAACAAGATAAGTGTGCCAGAAATCAATGTGGCGCAAGGAATTGTTTGTCTGGGTGTTTCCAATCTTTACAGATAAAATCTTTGACCAGGGGATGACGAGGAAAGACCGTGGTAGAAATGATTGGGTCTATGAGAATAGAGCCCAGATACTGAATAAGGGCAAGAATAGTGAAACTCTAAAATTGTAAAAGTGGAATGTGCAGCCTCGATTAGAAATTGTACTGTTTTGCTCTGTTTAGGAGAAACTACTAGTGACTGAAAATTTAGCTTATGGGGTCTCCTTTTCTTGGGAAGGGATGGACTTCGCATCTGAAAGAATGCTCTGGAGGATCCCAGACAGAATCAAAAATGTTAGGCATTTACATGTCTGATAGTGCTGGGAAAGATGGTGAACGGCATTTCAAACTCTTGTGCTTAGGAGGAACAAGTTGCTCTACCCAAGTAATAAATCCTTGAATAATAGGAAGAAAAAAAAAAAGCTATGTTGTTAATCAAAGGAAACCCAAAGTAAAAAAAAAAAAAAAGTTTGTTCACATTCAATGCAGGTGGGAGAGAATGACAAGGATGCACCACACCTTTGCTGTGTCCCGGAGACGGTGTCAGGAACTGTTGAACGCCTGGTGCGAGGATCTTTGTGTTGCATGGCATGCATTAGCATGTGGAGAGCTACCTTGCAACACTGTACATGAGAGGAAACCATGGGAGAGAAGAGTTTGGTGACCATATGCTAGCTCTTGCAGTATGGGGCATCATCAAAGGTCCTCCCATTTTAAACAGTTCCAGTCAGTTATAGCAATTTTTGTGGCAATACAGCACACACAAACTCCTCAGTAATAGGACGATTTCCTAAACGGGACATCTAAGCTACCAAAGCTCTGGGCCCAATAAATCAGCTAGGAATGCCTAGAAATACTGACCTCACCAGAAAGCAGAGTCTTGTGTTAACTGGAACACAGACAAGTTGCCATTGATGACTGCCTCAGAGAGAACACCAGTATACTTCATGAACTGCAAAAACATCCGCTTGCTGGCTAACTGGAGAAAGCTTACTGCTATCTCCATTAGAGAAAATTTCCTTCGCTTACTGTCCTAATGACAGTTTTACCAGACAGGAAGGAAAACCACAGCACGGGCAGAATTTCTGTAAGCAGATTAGGGTAGAGTTAGAGCCCCAGTTGGCTCTTTTATTGCTGACTGCGACAGTGTCTCTAATATGATTTGGTCTTCACGTCTTGTCTGGTGAAATAATAGTCATCATAAAAGTGACACCACCTAACAGAGCCCCGCATAGCAATGAAAACCTGAGATGGCTTCAAACCTTTTCCCACCAAAAAACAAAAAGGTTTTGGCCGAACACACACTTAAAATATACTGAATTATTACCTGGTGGCATAAGTTTCATCAGCACACGTGCTCCATCACGTAGTGGGGGCATATTTAGACTGCTGCCCAAATCTGCTACTTGCCACAGAAAGGAGATATATCGGTGATGTAATGACATTATCTGAAAAGAGAAAAGGGACATGTTAGCAAAATAAGTTTTCTTGCCCTAATGATTAAAGGCTGCATTGTCCCTTAAAAGGAGAACTATGAGATGAGTGATTTCCACTCACCTCATAGTTCTAGCCGAACAAAAAAACAAAACAACGCTTACAGGAACATTCACATTCCTACTTGAATATTTACAAATGTATGTAAAAACAGTTTCCACGGTCAAAATGATCACATTTCAATAATATCTGAGAAAGGGAATATACAAACCACTCCGGGAAGGCAGCTTTCAACTTCAGGGTTGGGACCATCACTAAAGTGGTTTCCATGATTGCCAGGAGAGCCAGTTGAGGAGTCTGAAGAACTGTCAGGACTTGAAGGCATGTTTGAGCTTATTTGTGTCAGCTTGGCTGTAATTAACTGAAAAATACAAAACAAAACTGTCAAAGAATTTTACAAAAATAGGCCAACTCTTAGCAAAAGCACTTTAATTTTATCAATTCAATATTTTAAAATGTGAATTATTGCCTTGTAATAGGATTTTTTTTGCTTACCATAAAATACTTTCCCTGTACATGGAGTGACATAGAAAGTCTTAAACATTCAAGTTATACTACCAACTACAGGAGGATTGGACACTGGCGCAAGAAAAAAAACAAAACAAAAAAACCCAAAAACCAACTGTAGGCCAACCCAAACTATAACCTCTCCTGCAACCAGCTTGCCTTCGTAGTAAAGCAGCACCAAAAGTATGATCATAATCAGAGTGGGTGGGACCTGTGTCCCTTAAGGGAAAAAAGTGCCCAGCCTCTAGAAAGACCTTACACCTTAAGCTGGCATCAGATGAGGCAGAAACATCCACCAGGTAGAACTTCAACAACGTGTGAATGGATGACCTGGTTGCCTAATGCTGAAAAGCCCAAGAGGCACTCAATGACCTAGCGGAGTGAGCCTTAATGAGAAAAGGGGGATCTTTGATATATCAGATAAATCACTGAACCTAGATATATTGGAAGCCAGGAATGGGATAAAAAAGCTGGGGCTAAAGGATAGACTCGCACAGGTTAAACCACATCCAGGCAATGGGGGGGAATTTTCCAAAACTGGTGCTAGACAAAGGGACCAGAGAACAATGGCCTGGTTAGGGTGAAAAGGCAGATTATCTTAGGCATCAACACAATAGTCCTTATGCAAGGCCAAAAACGTTTCTTTTCAGGAAAATGGTGCAAAGTGCAGACACTTGGCCCATGGGACGGTAGATCTGGCAGAGCTTAAGATGCACTTGCTAGAAGTCTTACCAAGTCAGCATACCACATCTGCCTGGGCCTATGAGGATCATCCAACAGAGCCAGAGAGGTTTAATCCGTTCGCCGCCACTTATGTCATACGATCGGCAGCAGTGGGCCCCTGTAAACAGACTCCTGGCTATAGCCATCAGGAGTTTTGTTTACCTGTGTAAAGCCAACTGTTGGATAAGTTGTGACGATTATACTGGAGTGTGTAAGTGGCCGTAATGGATTCGAAACGCAGAATATATAATTGGAGAAATAAACTTGGGGGGCAACCAGACTTCTGGTTCAATTTGAAAGATGAACTCCAATTGGTTGCCACAGACAATTTACAACTCTCTCTCCAGTTTTCTTTAGTACATTTTTTTTAATATATAATTAATTTTCAACAGTAACAATAATAATAAAAAAAAAATAATACCAATACAGAAAGAAAAACTTTAAAAAAAAAGTGTTTAGTACATATTTTGCTACTCGAGACCCAGATCTCCACCATATAAACTATACTTAACGTGAATGTATAGTAGACAAATTATTTTGTTTTGTATAGAATTAGGAAGTATTAGAACCCCAATTTTTTACTGCCATCCACTTGCCCTGTTGGATAGAGGTTCATAGACTTCCCTTCTCTTTTTGTAGTGATCTCAACTGGTAAGGGTACATTTTCCTATTGGGAAACCTGTTCCAGTGACATCTAAGAGGGGAAGTCTCCACAGTTTGTAAACTTTTCCCCACTTCTGGAAATATCTTTTATACACCGTCACACTGGATTTATACAAACAGATAAAAAGGTGTCTCCTGCATCGAAACTGTGTCCAGGACTCCTTCCTAGCATGTCAGGCAGGCGCAATCATGAGCATCTTCCAGTGAGATGGAAGGAAGGATTTGCCCCACTACAGGGAAGGATATGTGAACAGTCAGAGAAAAGCTAGTCCTGGGCTGTCCAGTGACTGCCTATTGTCCTATACACCTAGAAAATTGAGCTGTAATGATCTGTAGTGAAATTGAGCAAAAAGAACGGACTTGAAGTGGGAAACCATCAAAACCAGGAACCCTCATGCAAAAGTGAAGGGTTAGACAAACCTTGGATTTCAGTCAAATTGGGAAGGATGAGTGAAGATAGAGTCTTGCGATAGAAAAAAACCCAGTCTAAGCCATATTTAGTAAGAGATCTAGATACTTTACGTGACAAGCCCCATCTAATGATTAATTCTGAAAATTCAGGACCCAACTGAACCTCTGCAGCGTCTAAACAGCTAGATGGGCATTAAACAGCTAGATGGGCATTGGCAGGCAAGGCCTGTGCTGACCGTTCACTCATGCTGTCCAGGTATCCCACTATGGGTATGCCTTGTGAACAATGCAGAGCAAGTACAGGCGTTAACACCTTGCTGAAAACCCAAGGTACTGTGGAAAAGACCAAGGGAAGAGCAACAAACTGGAATTGTTGTGTGCCCACCGTAAGAGACCAGTACCATTGATACACTGGAAGGACAGGGATATGCAAGTGGGAATCCTTAATGTCCACAGAAGCTAGAAAGCCCCACAGATGGAGAGAAGCAATGACTGACCTGATAGATTTAATGTAGATGTTAAGTGCCTTTAGATCCATAATGGGGCAAATGTCCCCTTTTACTTTAAGGGGAGAATGAATAATCTCACTGACTTTATAACACTGCTAAACTATCTTAGGCAGACATTTCATTGAGCAAGTCAATCAGAATGAACAAAGATTCACTTCGTCTAAAATGCTCGACGGATTAATCATTTTAACATGTAGTTTTTACTAAAGATACCGTGTTTATTATTTCATCATATGCTCAGTTTGAATAGGCGAGGTTGACCTGTCCAAGACAAACATTTGAATAAAAAGCAAAAAACATAGATAAACCTACCGTTTTATCTTTCAAATTTAATTGACCAATTAATTTTCTGTCTTCAGAAGGATCTACAAGCTCTCCACCAATGAACAGTTCAACCTTTGTATGTGCGCTGTTGGCTTTGATGCGGTTCAAGATGCAACGACGAACTGAGCCTATCGTGTCATTTGTGTGAGACCAGATATCCAAATCTTCTACCTGTCTGCCCTGATTTGGAAATCGCACAACCAGGGTGATGTGTTTGCCCCGGAAAGCCCTAAGAGAAAGCAATCATAGAAATTTCAATAGCAAAACCACAACAATCTATGATTTAGATTAGTACTGTTGAAAGGGCAGCCAATTGCAGTTCCCGACCTGCTTCCCAGTTGCAATAATCTAAGCAAAAGCAGGAAATGCTTCATTATGTGAAATGAGGAACCAGAAACAGCCCTATTTCACACACTGTAGTGCCACCTTCTCACTGATGTCAGCAGGAGGAGGCACTACTTGTACTTTACAGGTGTCCCAGCACATCCAGGATCACAAGAGTGGTAGATCCAAGAGTGTGTACAACTGCATGAAACAGTGTTTATGTGAGAATATGTATGGTAGAAAGTCACTATATGTAAGAGACACTAAGCGCGTGACATTTCCTGGGCAACTGCCTTTACAATAATGGAGAGCTATGGCCAAAAAATAGCTTGATGAAGTTTCACCACATCTATTTAAACCCATTGCTGAATACAGTGATAGTACAAAAAAGGGGCAGCCTTGGGAAGCATCAACACTGTCAGAATACTGTGGGTACCAGGCATGGATTGCTGTCCTTATATTACAAAATGCCCTTTAAAACCACAGCCCAAATCAACATCTAGCCATTTTACCACACCATAATCAACACGTAGCCCTTTGACATGCATGGGAAAATTTGTCCCTCACAAGCCAAAGACGTTGGACAGGACTGGTTGACATTTGGTTGTGTATTTTGCCTTTCAACTTTAACACCTGCACATTAGCCCCTTCATGACTGAGCTAGTTTTCAGTTTCTGTTCATAAATGACTGACACACTTTTTACATTTTTGCTGTGCGATACTTCCACTGTAGTAATATACTTTCTTACTAAATGTACCCACACATATTATACATTGTTTTTTAGAGGACACATAGGGCGATATAATTATACCTAACACCTCACTTAGTTTGAATTAAAAAAAAATGGAGGAAAAAAAAAAACTAGAAGAAAACACTTTTTTCACAAGTTTTGATTATTATTTAGAATTTTTTATATTAATTATAGTATAATATATTTATTTTCCTAATTTTGTTTTACACTTTCATTTTTTTTTTACACTTTGTAAAAAATGTAAAAAAATTTTTTTTTGTCAGTTTATATCAAGCAGTCACTATGACTGCTTGATAAATAAACTTTTTAAAAATTTTTTGGCTATTATTAGGCTGCTCCAAACCTAGGAACAGCTAATAATAACCTTAGAGACTGATCATGACTTTAATCAGATTCAGATCTCAATAAAAGCTCTTTGATTGTGCCTAGAGACGATCAGAACATCGGGCTCTCGAGCTGTCAAAACAAATAGCAGAGAGGTGAGTCACTCTGCTACCTCTCTGCTATTTTCAGCTGTCAAATACGGGATTGCTAATAGCGGTCCCGTATTTGCATGTAACGGCTTCATTCTTTCATTAATGAAAAGGAAGAAGCTTTTACAAAAAGCTTATTTCATTAATGAATGCCTCAATACTGAGGCATTCATTAATGACTGGTAACCGCTCTGGTAAGAGCCTGATATAACTCTCACGTACAGTGTACGTGGCCAGTCATATAGGCACTTTGTGACGGGACGTACAGGGGTTAAGATACAGATGTAATCTACATATAACTGGAAAAATAAGCAAGTCGAGGTAAAATATCTAGTATTGGGACAGAGGAGGAACGAAAACATCATGCTGCAAAACCTTAGTTATTGCCAGTGAGATAATGAAAGGACACACCTAGACATTGGAAGGATTGTTCTTTCTTCATGGCAGTCACTGTCACATTCATTTATGTATTCTTTTAGGACAGTCAGCACCCTGACCATTCGTATTGCTTCTTGTCTTGCACAATTAATACTGTCTTTGTCACCATCCAAAACACATAGTGTATCATATGATGCCTTTAAACGATCAAAGCAGGACTGGATGAAGTCTTCATGTATCTCCACCTACAGAAATGTGTAAAAAAAAAAAAAAAAAAAAAGCCAAATACATCACTAAAACCAACTAGTGCTAACAGCATGAAACACAAAATTACTGATTAACCAGCACAAATTACAAAAAAGGATGTTAATAATTAACACCATGTGCATACCTCATCAACATTACACGTTGTATCCAGTCTATGGTGAGCGTTCAGCAATGAAAAAAGACCTGTCATGCAAGAAATATGAAGCCTGCCAATGCAGAGTTCGCGTTCACTCTTCCTGCAAATGCCAACTGTTTGGCTGTCATGCTAACCCTGCCGCTTTATTCAAGGAATGTCAAACTGGTGTTTTTTGTGCTAGACACAAACCACATGGCCATCTCACTTCTTGTGGCTCCTCTGGATTAAGCAATGCTCTCCATTTGATGAAGACTACAATTAAATCTCTTGCCCAACTTTTTTTTTCCATATTTAACCGCTTGAAGACCAGGTGTTTAGATCCCCTACCTGGCCAGGCCATTTTTCAGTGTTCAGCGCTGCAGTACTTTGACTGACATTTATTCCGTCACGCAACGCTGTACTGAAATGAATTTTATACAATTTTTTGGGGACAGATAGAGCTTTCTTTAGGTGGTATTTAATCACCACTGCGGGTTTTATTTTTTACTATATTCAGGAGAAATTACTGAAAATTTTGAGAAAAAAAAAGTTTTTTTTTTACATTATGCTATAAAACAACTAATATTACCCACTTTTTTGGTAAAATATAAAAGACGGGGTCACGTCGGGTAAATAGACACCAAACATGTCAAGCGTAAAAATTGCGCGCACTACACAGCAGCTGGCCGGGAGGTAGTTAAAGTGGAAGTACAAATCAGAAACATAAAAACCTGCTGGGAGGTAGGGATTTTTGGCAATAGATACATGCAAAGCCTCTCGCTCGGCAAATTGTTGATTTTCTGTTTACACTGTATGGTGCAGTGGTCAGACAGTTGGCTGCAAATATGTGATATTCATGATAAGTATTTTATATTTACCCTATTGAAATGTAATTACTTTTACCTTTTATAGCTAAATTTGCCAGTATGAACATGCAAAGACTCTAGATAATGGTAAAATGAGTTACTGAAATGAAGTGATATTAATCAAGTTGGCATTGGTTGTTTATACAAAAGGTTAGAAGGCATTTATAACGTTAGCCAAAGTGGCAATGGACAACTGCCAAAAAAACCCCCAACCAAAAACACATACTGCTTTAAAAGAAAATGAATGCTATACGTTTCATTTATTTTCTACTTCACGGTGGTGACCATGACAGCAGGAAATGGGAGAGGATGTTATATAATTTAGTTCTATAACAGGATATTGCACATCTATTGGAAAATTTGTCCAGGTCAAGTGGCACCAATGGGGGAGTTTCTATAATAATTTCAGTCCTTCTGTAGGTCAGATAGTGTTCATGGGTTTAGGAGAGAAAAAAAATTGTTTTAAACAACAAATTTCCTCTGTCATGAGGTTTCATGAAAACCATGCATTACTGGCTTTAAGGCCAATACAAGTTGTACAGACAACATTCTTACCTGATTTACTTGTAACCTGGGTCCAAGGTTGGTGTAGATTTCCTTTAAAAGATCTATTGCTCGACTTGCAATGTCATCGCTTCCCTGAATTACAACCTACAGAACACAAATAAGAGGTCATCAGAAAAATGCTTTCAAATAGCTTGCTAAAAGGGTCTATTAGTTTGGGTTTGTTTCTCCGCATCACTGGAGAGTGAGCAGAAGCAGCATAACAAAGATCCTGTATTTCCAAATAGCCACATTTCAGAAGTGCTGGTTCAGAGCAATTGTTGCAGCAATAAACAAACCTTAAAATCTTCTTTACATAGGAGATATCAGAAATGATCTTTGGCAGGTTCTACTTTTTCTCACAGTGTGCCATTTTTAGGATGGTACACTCAACAATTGAAAAGCACATTAAATGATTCATATTCACTAAACACATGCCATCAAGGCCAAAGACATGACCCTGACATGAAGCAAATACTGTGACAACCTTATTCAATGACTCACTTTGCTAATCTATCCAAGGGCAGCTAACTAACTTTTAAGGCCTGACAAATGAACACATCCGGCATGGAAATTGATACTCAAGGAAAGCTATGTGAATAATTAGTCTAAAACCATCAAAGCAAAATCTATTTTTGTTTTTTACCCCCAACTTGGGTTAAGTATGACATCTTTTAAAACAAGTTTTTAAATGAAATATTACTGGTAGTAGCCTTTAAACAACGTTTAAAGATGGGCATCTAAAATGCGCTAAAATAATACATTTAAAACACTATAATTAAACTCCGCTGCCAGCATAACTAGGTATTATGCACCCAATATAAAAAAATATTCACAAATCTTTTTGACATTGGGTATACAATACCTAGTTATGATGGCACCTGAGCATATTTCTATAAATGTTATTCTGAGATAACTGTTCATAATGCATTAATACCAATGATCGATCACACCATGTAAATAAGTTTATTATATTATAGCTCAACATTGCCTAGGCAACACAAAATATTTCACAAATGGCTAGCTTGGAAAAAATTTGATGAACATAATTTAATAAGGATATGTTCACAAAAATAAAAAAATGGTATTAGGGGATTTACTGGGGAGCTGCAAAAACTGCCTACATGCTCTTACATGTCTTGCCTTTGTTTAAGAATGTTAAAGGCAACCCAAGTTGCAGATGTGTGAAAAACAGAATATATTATCCTACAATCAGGAAAGAAGTTTTAATAAATATTTATCTAAACCATTTTAAAACAAAATCACCTGGAAACTAATCCAAGACACTTTCTATACTGTAATTATTTAGAGGTGAATGGGCCACCAAATGTCCACTTATGTTCAATAAAGCAATACTGAAGGCTCATCTTTCATATATGCAGTATATTGAAGGACGCGAGTAAAAACAAATATTTCAGTTTTTCAATAACTTTTTTTAATCAAGAATATAAAAATGCAAACAGACATCAGGCAGTACAAAACAATATCAAGGTGCACAATAAAATATAACTGAGTGACAACTAAGGACAAGTCAAACGAGACATCGTGAATGGAAGAAAGAAAACATCACATCAGACAAAATACAAGTAAACAAGAAGGCCCAGAAAAGGAGGAGTTTGTCCCTCAAGACACCAAACCCTAGAAAATGGTAAAAAAAGGGAGGAAAAAAAAAGGAAAAAAGAAAGAGATATTCTGTTTGACCTCAGCAAAAGGTATATTGGGGGATCGCCAAGCCCTCTCTATGACCCATTTGGCCTCCATAAGAAAAAAAGTTACCAGCCTAAATTGGCAGATAGTGTTTATCTGTGGGGGGGGGTTATGTGACAAGGCTTCCAGGGGGTCTTTATGAAACATCTTACCCATAACAGTATACAACAATTGGTAGACTCTACACCAGAATCTTATAACCTTAGGCCAAGTCCACCAGATGTGAAGCAGATGGACAAAACCCTCCATCCGGCAACCCCTAAAGCAGTGGGATGAATAAGAGAGAACAACCAGGGAGATACGGAAAGGCACCAAATACCACCTAAAGAGCACATTGTAATTAGCTTCCACAGCCTGTACATTCATCGAACTCTTAAGGTGCCCATACACCTTACAATTATCTGCAGATTTTCTGTGGTCAGATGGAAAAGGTGCAACAGATTCCTCCATCTATGCTAAACTGTGTGGATGGAGTAATCTCCACCTGGGCCAATCTGTTGCACTTTTTCCATCTGACCACAGAAAATCTGCAGATAATTGTAAGGTGTATGGGCACCTTTAGAGATTGTAGACCAAATCTGAGTCCAAGTGTCTCCAAAGGCAGGGCGACCTAGTTCCTGTTCACACAGGATTACGTATGAAGGGAGAGGTGTCTGCAGTTTATCCAATAGAAGGGCATACAGAATAGAAATGGTTCCAAGCAAAAATGTTTAACCAGAGACCGAGAGTGCCTGAAAACGAGAGGTTTAAGGTAACCAGGTAAAAATAGCTGATTATCCAATATAGACATCGGGAGAGTGAGGCGAGACCCAACCGAATGGGTGTCTCAGACCATCCTAGATCTTTAGAGTATGTTTAGTAATGGGCCTAGTCACCACCTCCTGAAGTGTACAGGGCAGCCATGGGAGATTAAGCAGCAATATTGGAGCGCATAACTAGGATTCTAATGAGACCCATAAGGGCACCAAGAGAGCCATTTGGGCAGCTTGATTAGTATTTATGGAACTGCAGTAATTTAAAAACAAACTTACCCTTGCAGTCAAGCTACCCCCACAATGCAAAGGTTAAGTGCTTGTTTTGTTTAAGGGAGTCAATTAAGGCAGTTTTACTTACCTGATCCTCGGTCCCGCTGGGCTGCTAGACAGGTTAGCACAGCCTCTTTCCTGGGCTCCAGAGGTCCAAGGATCTCCGATGTCATCACATCTAAAGCAGGTATACTGACTTGCATTAGATGTGAAAACAAGGGACATTCCACAGGAGAGAGGAGCTCACCAAGGATCAGGAGCATATATCTGCTTTGTTTGACTATCACACAAAACAAGCACTTACCCTTTCAGTCAGGCTATCCCCACACTGCAATGGTTAAGTTTTTTAAATTCCTGGAGTTAGTCTTTAAATACAAATGGTGAAAAAGTTAGCGAGTATTCTCCTGGACAAAGTTGCACAGTTCAAGCTTATTTGGGATCCTTGGCTGGCTTATACAAGCCGAAATTGCATTGCCATAAAGACAGACTGATTTTAGGCCTCAGCCCGCCCCGTGCGAACCACCTACCTTTTTAATGTTTCCCCCACTCTATTCTTCTCTAACACCCCCCGGTGTGTCTTCTGTCCCTTTCTCCTTATTTGTTACATATAACAGAAGGTAGAGCAGGTCACAAAACACATTTTAAATGTGTGGACCAATCAAGTTACTGCCAGACCGTATGTAGAAAAACTATAAATTCATTTATTTAAACATGAGTAATTTTAACAACAGTACTGTACCACATCCCTGCACCAAAATATTAAAAAACCTATTTGGCAACTTAGGTTAGAACACACTTATGCATTCATACACTCCTGGTCGGATAGCCTTTGAACCCACCTTTGGGGATATCAGTACACCCAAGGGTTAATTTTCATTGTGCATTGTCTTATATGTTGCCTGCCCCTGCTAAAGTTGCGTTTTAGGCGCACCATAGCAGTGACTGCCTGTCTCTCAACCTCGATTACCATTAGCTATCCTTTTAATGGACAACCGTCACGATTCCACACGCATTGTAATCCTTGTGAAGCATATCGTTGGATAACTGCATTCCCTCCAATGCCCTAATGCTTTGATGCTATCCTCTTTTGTGGGCCGTGAAACCCTATTATCTTAGAAAGCTAAGGTTGCCTTTAAGCAATTTATGTGACATGATAGAAACGAGAGACCAATTGGGCTTGAAATGTAATGTCCCCCGTATGGATGTTGTTTTGTCGACCTGTGTAATACTTTATATTTTTTGCTGAAAATAATAAAAAAACTTTTGCAATTAAATACAATGGTGACTGGAGTCCATTTATTGGGAAATGTGGGCTTGGAAACAGGACATTGTTATCAAATCTTGGGTTTGAACCAATGCCCAACTTCATTTGTATGGAAAAAAATAATAATTACTCCTCAAACTGTCTTATAGTCACATAAAAATAGTATGTGTACACCGCAAGCTCACAATGCTCAAACATGCCACTTCAGTCACGCTCTCCAATGCCCCCCACCCTTTTCCCCCTTGGCTTCCTCAAATTTGTGTTTTCGGTGTATTTAACCCTTTTGAATACATTGCAATTTACTCCAACAGCAGCACACTCCTGCAGCTCTCCTTATATTGTCGCCAAAAGTACATATAGGAGCAGGGTCAGTCCCAAAAGTCACCTTACCCAGTGCCCCTAATTAAGTTGAAGGCATTGGATTAGCAGAGAAGTCTAGGTGTGTGGCACAACATATTATTACATTATGGGCAAGTGCAGACAAAGCAGAGCAGTTACTGAACGCTATGAGAATGCTATATGTCATTCTGATACGGTGACTTCAATGCTTTTTTAGTCACTGTCCCAGAACAAGTAGAGATATAAATAGTTCTGACACTTAACTGACACATTAATGCATGCTCTTTCTTTGGCTGTGAGTGAAACATACCAAAAGGCAGGCACAGCGGGGCATCTAGCATTTTCAGGAGACAGCCGAGCAGTATAAATTAGAAGTTTAAATGCAACTACCAGTGCAGCCCTAACAAAATATTTAACAATAGATTTGATTTACACACACAGTCTTCTTAAGGCCACTTTCAGACGGGCACCTTCAGTCCCGATCCATAGGGATCCATGCACGGATATCCCGCTGATCAGAACGGATGGTCACTGTTGTGACAACCATGTCTGTCCAGTTTTTTACTCCATCTTGCTATGGAAGAAATAAGACTGAAATTACTGTACCCATATTGGTCTATGGGGAATCAGATATAAATGGACATGTGTCCGTTTACATCAGATAACCTCCGATTCCGGCACAGTCTGTTGAAACGGAACGTGAATCAGTTTGTTTTTCTGGACCTGGTCGAAGTCTAGGATAACAGACGCACACTGCCCATAGACTAACATCTGGCTTCCGATCAGACCCGCAGGAATAACTGACAGATGGATCTGATCGGAATTGCCTTTGTGAAGGGGCCTTTATGCTGCCAACAAACAAAGAGGTGCTATGAGAGAACTGGGACCGATTTTGTAAGCATTGTATACATCTGCTGGCACAAAGAGTTATCATTTCTTCCTCAGTTCCATCAGATTTTTTGCAAAATTGAGCCCTCCATTACTGCCAAAGGCTGACAGCCAAAGACTACAAACTCCTTCTTGCAGTTAAGGGCATTTAATGTTCTCTTCTCATTCTGAAAGCTACACTCCAATTTATCCACTACACAACATCCTGCTCTGTAATGTACAGAACATTTTCTACTGCACTTTACTGTGCTCTAAATTTCCCCACTCTGTATGCTGCTTCAGTGGTCCATTACATACACTACACTGTATATTCTGTACACCACACTTCAAAGTACACAGCAGTGTATATAGTGTAGACAAAAGTATCCTCTCCACACAGTCACTAACCCTTTCGCATGGACTTAAACACATATGGTGGAGCACAACCCTTTGACCCAGTCACTATGCCTTATGTTAGCTACATTAACTTTTCTTCTGTAAGCTCTAGTTGCCGATGATAGTATTTTTTTTTTTAAATTAGCCCCTTACCCCCACCCGCTGTTACCGCCGATCAGTACCCTCTCCATCTGGTCCTTGATCAGCCCTGTAGCGCGCAGGTGACATGCTCCCCTGCATGTGTCCCTTCCGATCCCCACTGCGCTTACACACCTATATGGGCAGAGACAGCGGGGATCAGAGGGGACACAGGGCAAAGAATGCTGCTGGTGCCTAAATGGGAGGAGTAAGATGCAGGCGGGGAGGATATAGGGACAAGAGGGGTGGGATGGGGCAGATTTAGGATGATGAGTAGAGCATCAGTTAATAACACAGTAGTGATCATTTCAGTGTTCATTCACAACTGAGATAGTAACTATCTCCCCAGTTATGAATGAACAGGAAGTGCTCTGTACAAAGCACTTCCTGTTCAACCATAATTGGGTAGATAGTAAGCGTTTACCATCTCTTCAGTTTGCAAATTAAAAGGAAGCCTCTGTCGGAGCACTTCCTGTCTAGTATGTGCCGGGGCAGCAGTAGAGATTGAAGACTCTGTCCTCCATCTCTTTTTCTTTCTCAAATAGGAAATATCTACAGCGCTACACATGTGCAACATCACGCACAGGCAGTGGTATGCGTTATGCACATGTGCTGCAGTGCGTTGTCATAAATTGCAGCGCTTGAATTCTTTTTTTATTCTTACATTTTAAAATAACAATATTACAACTGTGTGGCAGAGTATGGCAAGGCATTGCCGTATACTGTAACATGCTGTATTGAGGAAACAAATGTATGCATTCATCAATTTATTGCAGCGCACAATCAGGTGTCCCAACACAGTTGTGCGGCCAACCTCCAGATTACTAGCAAGTTGATTTATAGTTTTGCATACATTTTTTTTTTTTACAGTTTCTCCAAAAAGGTGCAATGTAAACATTTACATATATTTGTTAATTATTAACTCAAGACAGTTTTATCTTTTAGACATCGTAGGAATCTTATTCTGGTTTTTTGTGGAGAGTGAAGATAATGATTCTAATGTATTTAATTGAAAATTCTGTTTTTCTGGTCACAAACCCTAAATCAGTAGCACCGTCTGTTAATGCTAACGGTCCTGTGCTTTCATAAAATGTATGGTTTGGGTGCTATAAAAAAAAAAAAAAAAAAAAGAAGAAAAAAACTATGAAAGCTGCAGGAGAAAAAGATTGCCTGCCAAGGGCCAGCCAGCTAAGGATAAAAGTGAAATGCAGTACCTGGCAGCAAAAGGGTTTATTGTCAGAGCCAATGGCCCATCTATAGCTGGAGGCTGCCGCTCCCCCTGAAGCCCTATCTGTTCTACAATAGCTTTAGCTTCCTTAAGGTAGACAGGGAATATATGGAGGAGGCAATGGGGACTTCATATTTGATAGGTAATAGCCATGGTGAAGATTTCCCTTTAAATAAACCAGACCAGTTTTGAGGTTTTTTTTCCAGGATACTGACTTAGTAGTAACAACCACCAAAGCCAGCCATAAAGTAAACATAGCTTTCAATGATCTTGTAAAGCATTTTAAAAACACATTTAACACCACAACTTGATACCTTTAAGTACAAAACATATGACTTGCAACAATCTGTTTGGAATCACAAAATGTTACATTGCATTTAAAACATAAGCAGATCAATTTCAAATTGAGGAGAACACTTACCCGCCAGAGATAATCAAGCCCTATAAGTTCCAAGTCATCCATCATATAGGCTCTTCGTTTTGCTACAAGTTTTCCTTCACGACAATTGACAGCTTTGAAAAAGCGCTCAAAGCACTTCATGCCATTTTCTGTTAAGAGAGATGGATCCAGCTGTAGCACATTGTTTTCAAAGAAGTCTTTATTGATATCTGGGTCCAAATCCGGCTCATCACCCATGAGCTTGGAGTACCACTTGAAACAGGCTTCACGGTCACAAAGGTAAACCGCATTTTCAGCTAAGCACTTCCAAATCTGTTTTGCCTGGGGTGCGCAAAGCCAAAGCTGACCATCCTTCAATAAAAACCTAAAATGATTATTGTAAAACATGTAAGACAAATTAAAATTGCACAACTGAGTAAATCTGTCACAAATGAAACAAAATGTGTTGCTAAAAAGACGGAGGCAATAAAGAGTTACTTTAACTCTGCTAGAAGTGGAGTAATACTTGCCTCAGAAAATTTAGCCGCTCCTGTACTTCTTGAACATGACTATATCGACTTCCTGGCCTCACAGTCTGAGGATCGTACTCACCATGTTCTGCAAAGTACAATCATATATGGTTACGAAAAGTTGCTTTAATTATTCAAGTTATCAGAGCATCTCAATGCAATTTTACTTAAGACCTCTATTGTAACTTGAATTTATATTTATTAGAAGGCAAGAATTATACGATTATGAAAAGAGTTTGTGGAAAATAAAATTACAACATTTGAAGACTTTAAAAAAACACACTTTCATATTAGATGACCTCAACAAAAATGGCATAAAAAAGGAAAACGCTATTCTCAAACATCTTATGTGGTTTTTAATGCAAGTGCTGTATAGGTCAATAATGTAACTGCTTCAAAATTAAGCTTCAATGCTTAAGGGCCTGTTCACATGAGTTTCAGGTCCTGATCATGTGCGGATCTGCAGACGCGGTGCTAAGTGTTTTTGCCGCGTTCTTGATGCGTTCCAGTTTTAATTTTTTTGCCGGAGTGGGGCTCTCAGTATGTTAGCAGCAGTGCAGTGCGTTGAAGCGTTTTGCGTTTCCGGACCGTACAAAATGTGACATGCAGTATTTTTTCTGTCGTAACCTGAACGGACTGAGAACGGTAGCCCATAAAACACATAGGGATACATTTTTAGTGCAGGAGCGTACGGATCAGGTCAGCACACAAAACTGACGCCGTGTGAACAGGTCCTTAAGCTGGGAAGGCAATTATTAAGCAACTTTGCTAATCTAAAACAGACACCCAGAATCATTTGTTGTTTCTACCCCCTGGGAGCCAGTAGGAGTGTGAATAAAGTTTTAGTATCTCTTTTCATAGAATAAGTGTGTTAAAATTGCACTGCAGTTGTCACATGGCCCATATTAGTTTTGTTTAGAAATCCTTTAAATTATTTAGGAGAACCATCTTATTTTGGGGAGAGGTAGCATGGGTTCAGGGACTATTTCATAACATTTTAACCTCCCTGGCGGTATTCCCGAGTGTAGCTTGGGGTTACTTTTCCATACCATATTCCATACCACAGCTACACTCGGGAATGCCGCATAGCATTTACTTACCTTGTCCCTCGAGCCGCGTCGCAAGGGGGCGGAACCGGCGGCATATTGAAAAAAAAAAAAAAACGACAAAAGACTAAAACAATTCGAAAAAAAAATAGACCGAAAAAAATGACATGAAAAAATAAAAAAATCATACCGCCGGGGAGGTTAATACATTTATTTCCCCAATACTAGATCAGGTACATACGACCTTTATAGTTTATCTCATTCTAGAAAAGTTACACACACCTGATAAAAATTTTGGGTCAACAAACCGCTTTTCTACAGTGGAACATGTTTGAATGGCAGAGTGGTACACTAATTTCCCCAGTGCTATTTATAAAAACGTCTTGAAGACACACACAGACTGTCATTGCTCCCATTAAAGTTTGTGAACTAAGCAGTCAGATGGCTCGGTCCACAAGCTCTGTACCATGTGATAGCTGTGACAACAAATTACAGAGATCACATATGTAAACAAACTCCTGTGAGCACTGGGGATCCAGAATAAAAGGGATCAGCAGCAGCAGCTAATAAGATTTTCACTGAGAAATTCTATATATTTTTTTTTACTTTCACTTTCGCATTTTGATATTCAAGCTGTCTTCTCTGTATGTTACCTGTATATTACATCTCCCTTATACTGCACATCAACCCCTCCAATGTATTTGAACTATACATTACTATCTAGTGCACCATCACCAAGCAGCATGTTGTAACCACCAAAATACCAGCATGATTCTTCCTTTGCAACTCAAAAATTGCAACAAAAAATTAGATCACCTAAGGGGGTCTTTCTAAAAAGGGGGTAATTTGGGAATGGATGGGGTTTTGAACTGTCCTGGCATTTTTATTTTATATGTTTAACAGAAAGTAAGGGAAACCAAAAAATTAGAATATATCTCTAGATCTCAATTGGGTATATTGCTGGGTATTACAGGCTGATACTGAAGTGGTTAAGACATGAACACTATACATTTTATGTATTTAATATTTATTGAGCAGCTGTACATTGTTCAGCAGATGTCTTATAAGGTCCACTCACAAGCAACAAACCATAATTTCTAAATTACTCTTAACCAGTATTAGAACTATTTATCTGACCATACAAGACCTGATCTTACCAAGATGTGTAAAACTTTGAAAGACCATCCCAGGGCTTTGACTTACCTTTGGAGTACTGTCGCATGCCGTCCATATATGAAGAAAGATTTTCTGCCACTAGTGTAACAAGAGCATGGTTATGCTGGAGTTGGTTTATTAAGTCATGTCTGTAGAAAACATGCGGACTGCGCTGAGTCTGGCTGAAATGTAAGAAACAACTACAAATTAACCCCTCCCTTCATGACCGAGGCCTTTTTTTATATTGTTTATTTACATGTTATAATCCACATTTTAGGCCTGAAAATTACTTAAAACCCCCAAACAATATATATTTTCCGAAAGCCAAGACCATGTAGAATAAAATGGTGGTAGATGCAAATGTTTATGTCGCATGATATTAGCGCTCTTTAGCAAATCCCAAACATTTTTGAAAAATGCACTTAATGCCCCAAAACACAATACTTAGATTTTTTTATAAAATATAAAAAAGGTGAGGTTACAACGAATAGATACCCCAACATGCACAGGTTAAAAATTGTGTGCGTATGCAGACTTTTTGGGGTAATGAATTTTGTCGGTTTCACAGACGACACTTTAAAAGCCCCCACAGGTCATCAATATAGAGATATGCATAAATATTGGCCCTAGAATTATTGCCCTCACTCCAGCGTGCGCAGCTATACCCAACATGTGTAGCACGATCCTCGTTTTCATACGTAGGCACACCCGACGCATGTTTATCTGAAGACAATCATGCTCGCGAGGGACTTTTAAATGTAAAAATACAACAAAAAGTAAAAACTTTTTTTGTTTTTAACTTTAATTGCCATCACCTAGGGGGGCAAGTGATGGTACTCTTTAAAGGTGATACCGGGGGGGTCCAAAAAACCCCTAGTATCACCTTTACACTTATAATAAGCCCCCCCCCTCTGGAAAACACGGAGGGGGTTTCAGGTGGGGGGCCCTGTTTACTGGCAGCAGCTGAGCCACCAGAATCGCTTCTACTGTAAAAGCAGAAAGTTATTTTAAATTGCAATAGTCAACAGGCTGGCTATTGCACCTGCCAATCAGCAGAGGAGGACCTGAGAGAGAACTTCAGGGATGTGGAATTCCTATCGCCCGACGCCCGGGACAGGCAGTTTCGGGCGAGTAGTTTTTTAATACATTCAGCCCTGCTCCGGACAAGCAGAGCTGAATGTACAGTGGGAGCCGCCGCTCGTTTTCATACAAGTGATCTAATCAGATCACTTGTATGAAGCGAGAATCGGCGATCCTGTCCGATCCTCTGGTGGACCTGTCACCACGGCATGGGAGCTCACCATAGAGCCCACAGAGCAGACGAAGAACTTCCTTTCTTCGTCTGCTCTGTGCTATCACTGAGACCGTGGCGCTGTGATCACAGCGCCACCTGTCTCGGCTGTCAGGAACTGCACAGAACATCAGTTCTGTGTTGGAGGGCAGGTTCCATAAAGAGAACCTGTCACCTCCAAACTATCACAGAGGATTTTAACACCATGTGATGGGAATAAAATGAAAAAAAAAATTTTTAAAAGTTATAAAAAAGTAAAATATTATAAAATATATAAAAATTAAAAAAGTGACAAAGTAAAAAAAAAAATTAAAACCAACTCCGCTGCCCCTGCCATCTGCATACAAATAAACACACGCATAGGAAATTGTGTGTGTTGAGTCCTGCTGCCATTTCACTGTGTGCCATATTGTGGTACCTGGGCAGCAGAACTCTCTCACACACACACAATGTGCATTAAAGGGTAAGTTCACTTTCCCAGGTAATACGGGAAAATGGAATTACCCGATCAAATCTGGCCCGATCTCTTCTACCCCCCCAGCTATAAACTTTCTGCAAACAGTCCTTACCCCGTACTGTCAAGCACATTCCTGCCCTATGCATTTTGAATTTTACTGGCAAATTGCAAGCACTCATTGGTCAGCGTGGTCAAGTGATTGGCCGGGAAGCCAGCTCCTTGCCGATTGGCCGCCAATCAGCATCGAGCCTTCTTCCCGGCCAATCAGGTCATTACGTTGGCATGGAGCAGGCCTCCCAGCCATTCACAATCAAGCCGGCCAAACAACATGGAGTCGGCTTCCCTGGCAGTCAGGAAGCCGGGTAGCATCTCATTACCCGCTGCCTAGCTTCCTGATTGCCCGGGAAGCCTGCTCCATGCCAACGGGTGAGTACTGAAAGCAAAATATTGGTACTCGATACCCAAAAACTGGTATTGGCGCATCCCTAGTTTTAAACTTTTAAAACTTTTTTTCTTGTATTGGGACAAGTAGATTGTCATGAAGGACAAGTAGATTTGACCCCCGCTTTAGCCCTTGGACAAGTAGTTTTTTCAAAAATATCCACACCCCTGAACTTTCTCCTTCAGTCCCTTTCTCTGCTGATTGACAGCAAGCAATGGGTGGGTGCAATAGCCAGCCTGCTATTGGCCAGCTGTGTTGACATTCAGGTGCCTCAGCTGGCAGCTGTCATTTCCCAGTGAAGTGTAAAAAGCGACATTAGGGGTCTAAAAGACCCCCAATGTCACCTGCAATGTGCTATCACATAAGGGGATTGTGAGCCACTCATGTGAAAGCAATGAGGAAAAAAAAAAAAAAGTAAAAATACAATTTTTAAAAATACCCCCACAAAAATGTAAAGTCCCCCAACCCTGCCAACGCACGCATACTAACAGAAACACAAGTCGGGTGCACCTATATAGAAAAATGACGATTGCGCTACATGTCAGGTATCGCGCCGGAGTGAGAGCAATAATTTTTGGGCCAATATTCATGGCCAACTCTAAAATGATGACCAGGCTTTTATAATGCCATGCATTCCAGTGCAGTGCAAAAAATGTGCATGCAGTGTTATTCTGAAGCAAACATTGCAACACTCCATTTGTGTATTTTATTTTAAATAAAATGTTTAGATTATGAAAATAATAGTTAGTTGCAGCCTTATCAGATATACATCGCAATGCCACATAGTAACGTGACAAACCAGTGCGATTTCCTGCTACAGTTAAAAAGAAAGCTCATTTCTGACTAGCTGTCATAAGAAACACAAGGGGGTTTCACAAGCTGCCTCTAATGATGCTAGTTTTAAGGCTGTTCTACTGACCCACTCCCAGTAATTTCTGTAGTCAGTGACATGGAACAAGTATAAAGATAATTTGAAGAAAATGCAGAATCACTGTTTACTGGCTTGCTTTACGTCGGTGATTCAAAGTATCTGAAGTATCAGTTTCAGGAGATCAGGAATGACAATCTCCATGTTTCTCCCAATAAATTCTCTTTAGGAATTTTGTTAGACTTATGATAAAGATATATATTATGGAAAAGTTCAGGTCTTTAAGCTTTAAAATCAACTTAAATTGTCCCTTGTTGCTGAACTGATTTTTATATGCATGCCTAGTATGATTTTTGGATGCAGATTGAGCCGGTCACAACATGTTAAAAGACCATCTTCAAAGATATGGCATCTCTCTGCTTCCAAGCATGCTTCAAGGGACTTATTCAGAATGCAATGTTTGTGTCCTTCAATGTCTCATGATACACGTTTACCCCTTTCAGAATATCCATATTGCCTGTGACTTTCTCCCATCCAATTGCTTGTTGGGAGGACGGATGGTGGGGTCGCTAAGGTCAGAACAGGATGCCAATATCACAAGTTGTTCAAACACAAAGAATGTGTTCAGGGCAACGAATCTCCTAAGAAGGGGATTTCCTTGTACTCGACTGTGAATGCTAGGTTTTAATGACCTAACATCAGGCATATTACAGAAAAGTATGCCAACGTAGAAGAAAGAGCATAACCTGCCACAGTACAGTAATGGATATCTTTTTCATTTTAATGTCCATGTAAAACCTGCTCACATACCTCAACCCTGCTTTTAACATCTAACATCCTTTCACAGCTGCATTCTAATTAACCCCATGCTGCCGGCCAATTATACATGAAGAGCCGGATAGCTCACTTATAATAGCTTGCATGCGTTAAGTCCTTTCCCGCCTCCTGCTCATCCCTGCACGGCAAACTATTCACATTGCTTGCAGCCGGCGATGGCTGTTGCATACAAGTGTTTGATCACTCGTATGATTGTTGGGTGTGTCTAAATGCGACAACAACTATTATGCAATACTGAATATTTTACCGCAAATGTCAAGAGTAGGGCAATAATTATAGGGCCATTATTCACCGAACACTAAATTGATGAGCAGTAAAAGCTTTTAAAGCTTCGCACAAGGACAACTTTGAGTATGATAATTTTCTGCAATTTCACAGGCACATGGAATTTTAAGGCTTGATACGTTTGGCATCTCTTTACCCGATGTGACCCCATCTTTTATATTTTTTTCGGTATTCTTTTCTTTATTTAGTAAAAAGATAAAACAAAACCCAGTGGTGATTAAATGCCACCAAAAGAAAGCTCTTTCCCCCCCAAAATAATTATATAAAAAATTCAATTCGGAACAGCGTTGCATGACTGAATAAATGTCAAAGTACCTCAGCGCTGAATACTTGAAAATTGGCCTGGACAGGAAAAGGGTTTAGCACCCCCAGTCTTCAAGTGGTTAAATATTCAAAAATTAGAAAATGTTATATATAATGCACTAATATAAACCAGAACGTGGAGACAAAGTGACCTTTGCACTGCAGATCATGCTAACGCATAAAAATAAAATAAAAACTTACCTTAAATTTTGAGGTGCTTCACCAAATAAACTGCATATTTCTCTAATTTGTTTAAGTGCTGGTATGACCCATTTATCATTTGTACGCAGCTCTTCTATAAAACGATCTATCCACTGAATTTTCTGTGCATCTCGATCCTAAAAAAGGGGAACAAAAATAAAAATAAAGATTAAATAAATAAAAGAAACCAGTTGTGGGATAAACTTAGACAGGCACACTGCTGCCCTCCTGCAGATTTTATTTGCCAGGCTGCCATTGCAATGCTTTGGCCACAAGATACTATAAAAGGAAGCGAACAGCAGCCTCTACTTTTCTAATTACACTTTTAGGGACCAATTTTACATTTATATCAAATAGCAATTACTAAAGAAATGCGAGTCGTGCAAAGCAAAAAATAAGCCTGGTTTAATCTTTCCCACCCAAATGTCATCTGCTCTTTTCATATTCATCCAGGATAGAAGACATGGTTGTAAGAAGGCTGCTTCAACGTGTGTATGCCGCTACAGTTATCACTTCTAATTATTAAAGGGTCAAGTCCTTACCAGGAAAGGGAGAAGTGGGGACATATTACTGTCAAACCTATCTAGAGCTGCAGCTAACGATTATTTTCAAAATCGATTAGTTAGCCGATTATTAAGTTCGATTAATCGGTTAATCGGATAAACAATAAAAAATCGGTCAAGTTCCCTCAGGAGAGGAATAAGGCTGAGTAGTATCAAACACCACAGAAGGTGAGACAAATATTTGAAATTAAAATACTCCACTTTGGATTCCAGTGCTAATTTTAGGTTCCTACAAGGGTAGGAATCAGAGGTCTCAGGATGCAATGAAACCTTAAGGGTGGGGCAGCTGAAGGAAAGGCCCAATTTCAGGGTGTAGGCAGAAGGCTACAAGGAGTGACTAAAGCACCTAAACACCAGGGAATTAAACGACCTAAGCAACTGAGCTTCCTCCGCCAGCGTGTGCCCAGAAAGAGAAAGATGGTCTTTCAGGAGGCTGCCCAGGCGCAGGACTGGACCCTAGGCCACAATTCAGAGGAAAAGAAAGCGCAAATTCAACCAAAAACGTCCTACACAACAGTCATGCCCTCACCCTTAAGGGACAGGAGCAACCGCACTGGAAATCTGGCTGGACAAAGCCCTGGCTCACCTTGCCATACTTGCAGACCACCCTAGGAAGGTGGCAGTGGTCATTTCAAAAGGGTCTTGCCATCAACATTTTCACCCACTTTGTGGGCACACCCTCCTAAGGGGAGCTTCAGGGACAGGGCTCCATGGAAACTGACCTCTATAGCACACTGCGGCTACTCCGCATGCTCCAATAAGTGCCAAAATGAGCAACACGCAGCATTTAATGCCCTGTGCACATTACAGGCTGGCCCTGCATCTCCCGCCAGGTGGGGTGCTGGTACAGTCCAGTCTGCAAAGGTGTGGCTGTGGAGAAAATTGATACGGATAACTGCCAAGAGGTACCTAAGTGGCTGTGAGCAGCTTGGGTAAACTTGCTATAGGAGTCTTGATGGTAGAAAAAAGTGCAGAAAAGATGTGCTTCTCTCAGAGCTGAAAGAAGGTGCTCATCACCTATGGACACTAGCAAAATGAGACAAGCTGGAATTGGGATGGGTTAAACACGGCTGTCCCTACAACTTTGATTTGCGAGCATCCAATAACCTAAAAAGGTAGCTGTATAACCAATGATTCCAGAATAACTACCTGTGTCATCTGATGCGAATTGCTTTCTATTCCTTGATCATACAATAGTTCATATGTATCCAATTACACATTTTACAGTGGAAAAGAAACAGAAAAAAACAAAAACGAAAGCTGCTTCAATTTTAAATAAAGCCAACATAACGTACTTGTTGCTGGAAATGGCTGTTGTAAAATTTATTTTTGGGGTAAAAGGCAAACATACTAGTACCTCAATATCTCATAACCTAATTTTACCAACCTGCGAGCAGCTGTAATCCAAAATTTTAATATGGGCACTCAAGGCTTGGTCCATTATATCAACAGGCACATCATCACTGTGCGCTAAATTCCACAGAAGGTTTAAAACCTTATGAGCCATTACACCATCTTTGTCATCTTCTGCTAGCCGACGTATTAACTCCAGCAGCTTCTCGCGCTGTTTTTTGCTTGCATTTGTCCAACTAGCCTGTTAAAATGAAAAATAAAAAAATAAAATAAAATAGCGGTAAAACATAGCCTAACTGCCTATAAGCAAAGGCTTTAAAGACTTTTTATAGATTATGTAGCAATTTACAGTGTAGGCATGTTGTCTTTTGTAAGGAAGTGAATATTATATCAAACATTGATCAAATCTAGCAGAAAAAATAACATTTGCTATAATATGCTCATTATTAAATTAAATCTGTGGCCAGGCTATAGAAATGAAGCACTTACATATTCTTAAGCAGCAAAAAAAAAAAAAAAAGCACTAATAGCAAGCATTTACTAACTTCACTTGCCGCAGGCACTGTGGAGCAATCCATCCCCAAAGATTATAGCACAGACTATGAAGTCAGGCTAAAGTGAGGTTTTATACATAGCAGAAAGGGTTGCTTGTTCACATTAGCTTGGAAGGCTGACAAGTTCCTGCTGACAGAATAGAATGAATAGGCGAATAGTAATTTCAACGCTTCTGTTATGAAATCTGAGAATGAGTTTCTCCACAGTGCATGCAGCTACAGAGGTCAATAGGGGTTTAAAAGCTCCTATACCGCTGAAAAATATATTTTGTTTTGTAATTTTCTACAGCCTGGCCACAGGTTTAGTTTAGGCACATACTGAGTTACAAGACACTTGTAGTAGAGGCCACTACACAGGTAAGTAACAGCAGTAAGAAACCAAAAGAGGCCCACTCAGTAATTACCAGAGTTCCCACCTACCCCAGTGAGATGCAACAGATTCAAAAAGGTGGAAACAAGGAAAAATAAAACTAAAAGACTCAGTGCTTCCCTCCCTACTTGGAAACTAACAGATTTGTGTAAAGAGAGAAAGAAAAAAAAAAAAGAAGAATATATGGCCAGACAAATGCTGGAATAAACTACTCTACCTCCTATAAGAGCACTCTAAAAACAAAAAGGTAAGACCTGCCAGCAGATCTGGACCCTAGAGGCAGAAGCCTTACGTTTCAAAGGCGTTACCCCTATATGCTGCTACAGAGTTAAAATATTTTAAATGCAACATAAGCGCACTATAGAAAGAAAGCCTAAGTAGTCAATATAGGTCAATTACAAATCGCTAGAGAATTTTAAAAAAAATTTTTAAAGTCATAAAAATAAAGTGCTTGAGCACCAATGCTTAAATTTAAAACATTTGTTTTTACCTTAAAACAATCAAAAAGGTGGTCAAGTTGTTCAGGAGAAAAATCCCATGCTAACTTGGCAAGCAAGTCATGGACATTTTTTACAATGGCTTCATGTTTTCCTGCCTGCACAATAATAAAAAAAATTAAGCGTTAGCTTACCCAAACTACAACAGTAAACTTCATTCATTAATGATTCATTAAATAAAAAAAATGACGACACTGCAGCTAAAAAGGAAAACCATTTCATAAATTCTGGTTTCGGCAAGATGGCACCTGGTCTCAGTATGTTCTTGTTTCTAGTTGCATGTGCAAAATCAAACATGGGTTGATGTTCAGAACTGAATTGCTGTACTACAGAGCTCCTAAGACTTTGGAAAAGTAGCTTTTTGTGGGTTAGCCAAGCACAGCCCCAGACCATGACCATGACCATGTATAACTCAGGCAGACCATGCATAATCTCAAGCAACAAATTATTGAAAGGTATCTGACAAGAATGTTTGGCGTTTTGTTCTTGGTTTCCGATTTTAACAGACTCAAACATTTAGTTCAAATTACTTTTATATTTAAGTGTAGTGCATTTTTACTGAGGTTCTGAATTGGAGGTAATTCTTGCTACACTGATGGCCAAACGAACATAATATCACCCACTGCCTTTAAACAGGGAATGCTACATGGGTTTGTGAGGAAAACAATGCAATGAAAAACCCTATCTAGTATTTAGTTAAGGCTGGGTTCACACCTGGGCGTACCGTAGAGGCGCGTTTTTTCTGCGGTTTGTAGTACAGTGAAATGCACGGTTTTATACCTCCCTGGCGGTATGATTTTTTTCCCCTTTATTTTCTCTTTCTTTTTTAAAACTTTAAAACTTCCCACCGGTTCTGCCCCGCTGCCGCTCGCAAGGGACGGAACCCGGAAGCGGCCAAAGGACACAGCGGGGATCGCGGACAAGGCAAGTCCTACGCTGTATTCCCGAGTGGGGCTCGGTTTTACCGCTTTGTTAACCCCGAGCCACACTCGGGAACAACAATGGATACGCGCTGAAAAACGCCCCAAAAGAAGCTCCTGTACTTGTTTGCGCGTAGGGCGTTTTTTAGCGCGTTTCCACGGGCTGAAATACACCCAGGTGGGAACCATGCCCATAGGATTTCCCTTGCGGAGAGATTTTCAGCGCTTCGATCAGCGCTGAAAAATGCCCAGGTGTGAACCAGGCCTAAAAGACGACAAAGTGCAAACCCCCCTTTCTTTAGTGAAAGGAAGACAGTGCTATAGTTTCTGGTATTAAATGGAAGTAGGGCAAGACTATACATCATGGTATTTTAGTACAAGTATTTTTTTTTGGTTGTTTTCCCCGATGGATTTGACAGTAATAAGATAAAACATTATCCATAGTTACAGTATTTAAGACTGATTCTTTCAAAAAAATATATTGTAGGCACCATCTCGGGAACATCTAATATTATGAAGGTGCACATCTGGTGAAAAACGTTGTATGGTACCATGATATTCGTGGTGGTTATGTAGGAGGGTTGAAAAAAGAAAAAAGAAAAAAAAAAAACTTCCTAAAAACCACTGACCTATGTGCACTATAAACACAATTTCACTGCAGTTCACTTACAAGGTGCCTCATAAAAAACTCTTTAATATCACCACTAACGAGTGTTGTCTCCATAGATGTTTATACAATCTCAGGGGAGATGCAGACGTCCGCTACAGATCCCAGAAACAGACAATAATTGAATTATAAGTTGGAGGATCCGGACTGAGGACTAATGTAGATTACCAATTTCCCTTACTTCCTGATGGTCCTTTAAATCAAGGCCTTATTAAAGAATATGGCACGTTCCCTAATCTCAGGAGAAAGTCAAATAATTCATTATTAGAAACTGAGAAAATAGGTTCATTACCTGTGCTGCCCAAATGTTGTCCAGATCTTGCAGAGTAAGTGCTTTTTCCTTAATGACAAACCTAAGAATTTTTTCTAATTTCTCCACATACTGCGGTTGATGAAGGCTATCTCGTAAAACAATTGATAGGATGTTGTTCTGCTGGATCCACTCCTAAAGTACAATTAAATAATTTAGAAGCCAAGTAGGCACATCTATAGTATAAAAGGTTAAACAAATGTTGTGATGGTGCATGTAGCAGTTGGAGTTCACATTTTAAACGAGTACAACAAGAATTGTCCTACTAGCTCGTCTTACCACTTTAGTGAGGAAAATTATTTGATCCCCTGCAGTTTTTGTACGTTTGCCCACTTGGAAAGAAATGAAAGGTCTAATAATATTTATCATAGGTGTATTTTAAATGATAGAGGCAGAATATCTACCAAAAATCCAGAAAAAAACATGATACAAATGTTATAAATTAATTTGCAGTTCAGTGAGTAAAATAAGTATTTGATGCCCTACGAACCAACAATAATTCTGGCTCCCACAGACTACCTATGTGGTACACAGATTAGTCCTGTCAATTAAAGAAGGTGCTCCTAACTACAACTCGTTATGTATTTAAAAGACACCTGTCCACAGAATCTTTCTTCTATTCAAACCTCACCACCATGGGCAAGACCAAAGAGCTGTCAAAGGAGGTTAGGGACAAGATTGTAGACCTGCACAAGGCTGGATTGGGCTACAAGACTATCCGCAAGAAGCTTGGTGAGAAGGAAACAACTGTTGGAGCGATTATTCGCAAATGTAAGGAATACAAAATAACCATCAATCGCCCTTGGTCTGGAGCTCGCCGTGTTTGAAGAAAAATGCTGACTATGACCCTTAGAACATCATCCCTACAGTCAAGCACCGAGGTGCAAACAGTATGCTTTTGGGGCTTTGCCGCATTGAGGGGCCAATGGATGGGGACATGTATTGTAAAATCTTGGATGAGAACCTCCTTCCCTCAGCCAGAACACTGAAGAGTCGTGGATGGGTCCCTTCAGAATGACAAATGACCCAAAACATACTGCCAAGACAACAAAGCAGTGGCTCAAGTAGCAGCACATTAAGGTCATGGAGTTGCCTAGCCAGTCTCCAAACCTTAATCCTATAAAAAAAAAAAAAATGTATGGAGGGAGCTGAAACTTGAGTTGCCAAGCGACAGCCAATAAACCTTAATGATTTAGAGAATATCTGTAAAGAAGAGTGGACCAAAATCCCCCCTGAGATGTGTGCAAACCTGGTAACCAACTACAAGAAACGTCTTACCTCTATGCTTGCCAACAAGGGTTTCTCCACCAAGTACTAAGTCATGTTTTGCTTGGGGATCAAATAGTTATTTTACTCACTGTACTGCAACTCAATTTATAGCATTTGTATCGTGTTTTTTTCTGGATTTTTGGTTGATATCACTATAAAGGAGAGGCTGAAAACAAATTGGCTGCAGCCCTGCAGTTGGCTTGAGGGCTTGTTCACACCATGTCCGGATCAGATCTGGAGCAAATCTGTAAACGCAGTGCTTTTTTTTTTTAAAGTTTAAAATGGGCTTTTAGGTGCAGCCTAATGCGTTTCCATGCGTTCCAGGTCAGAGAAAATTAGCAGTATTTTTTTTTGTCTGGACCTGAACGGACCGCGCTGGTGTGAACAGTGCCCAGAAATACCATAGGGATACATTGTGATGCGGGAACAAACTGTTGTGGTCTAGACATGGTGTGAACAACCACTGAAGCCAGATGCCTCGTGCAGAGGGAAAAACCCAGCACGGGACCATGGCACAGGTAAACAAAACAGAAACTTTGTAAAAAAATAAATAAAAACTAGCTGCTTCTAGGAGGTGCCTGAACACATTTGAAAGTATCAGCTCAGATATTTCCCAGCAGTGCAGAGCTTGCTACCAAGTCCAGCTTTCTCATATTCCTGATGGCCCATCACTGAGGTGGGCTGCATCACTAGCCAATAGGAATGTAGTGGAAGCAAGGAGGACCAGTAAATGTTATAACGATTCATCATTTGGCCATGCATCCAGGCATGTTCAAGTACTCCTAGGTGACTGCTCTGAATACCCGCAGATGTTTCTCCATCCACAAAACCATGAACATAATTTTATAAAGGTAATATGAGAAAGCAGTCTGTGACCTATAGAAACACTTGGCACTGCGTGCTCCAGCAGTATAAAATATGAACTCTCAACTTACAGCCATTCGCTCGGCAGTTAGCCACTCCTCCTCCTCTGGATTGCCATGTCTGTGTGTGTAGTAGGATACACTTGATATTACTTTGTTCACTTCATTAAGTGCATTCATTTTTCCATTAAAGGAAGAAATTTGTAACAACCTAAAAAATAAAGAAGGTTAAAGTACATCATACAGCTAAAAGAAGATTCAAACAAAATACTGCTTTTTCAAAATGGAGAATATGCTCACTTTTTTTATAAAAAAACAAACAAACCAGTAAAATAAAAAAAAATGTATATATTACATTACACACACGTATGTAAAAGCACCTATATTAGATAACTGACGCATGAAACGTTGCTAGGTGAACTTTAGTTCTCCGACTACCCTTTTTAAACTAGAGAAGGCTTATGGCAAACCTATAGGGAACATTCAAAAAATTGTTACATCATCCTGGGTCGGCCAATCAAGATAACCAAAGTTGACGAACTTGGAAGCTAGGTAGAGGATGCCAACATAGGCGAGGGAGCTTGCAGGCATTGCAAGAAGCAAGGTGAATATAGTTCAGCTTTAAAATTCAGGGAGGTGGCAAAATTATTATGTTTCAGAGAGAAACCAAATGCCCCCTACATTTTCCTGCAATGTCTCACACACGGTGTGTTATGGTGCACTGTGGTTCTTTGCAGCACAGGTAAAAATCATGGAGGTGCATTAGGGAGACATTTGAAATGAATGACACTGCAACAAAACACATTGCTGTATTACCACAATGTACATATATGAATTGTGTGTACACACACACAATATATATA